AGTGCGTAAGGAAATGTAGACATGTTTCAAACTAACGAGAAAGGAAATCATTTCGTTTGCTTTGTTAGAAGTGTGACTGAGGCTAGAGAGAAGCTGGGCAGTTCAGGAAACGGGCCATCCCGAGGAGGCCTTGTGTAGATGAAAGCATCAGAGCCCACTGCTGCCCACGCTGTCCACCCGCCTCCGTTTTTCCCTGGAAACTGCTGGAAGGAGAGCAGTGCTCAGCAGATGGGAGCCGCAGGGCCTGAGATGAATGGCGGGATCGCTAGACCTGTGGCTACAAGCCCGTGTCACAGAGAGAAACTTCTAGGAAGTGTTTTTTCCTTCCCAGGGCTTGAGTAATTTATAATAACGACACCGTAATGTCACCATTGCCCAGTAAGTTGTGCTGGTCTCTGACAGAGATGATGTTCTTGTTTGTGGGTTGTACCAGCTCGTTCTTCCTCCAGTCCTCTCAGCTGAGCCAGCTGGGTGTGCGAGTGGGAGCATTGGGCAGGGCCACCAGAGACCTCCCGGCACTCTGTCCAGGTCAGTGCTAGTACCTGTGAGGGAGCCAGTGCGCATTCTTAATGGCTCCCAGTTTGGGATCCATTGAGTGTGAGCTGCTTCAGGGTTTCGTGCTCATCGGGCTGTGGACTCCTTCCAAGGAGCGCTCTAGTTGATATGATTTTGATGTATATTTTCCTTTGTTTTAATGCAGGCAACATACTATTGAATGTTTTGATTCCACCCAATATGCCATGTAGCCGAACAGGGAAAAACAATGTACTCATTGTCTGCATTCCAAACCCACCACTTGATGAGAAGAGTGCCACCGTCCCTGCCACCATGTTGATTCGGGTGAAAACTAGTGAGGATGCAGACGAGTTGCACAGGATTTTACTGGAGAAAAAGGGCGCCTGAAGGTGAAGTCGGAGGAGGCATTGCCAAGTTGCTGCTCCTCCACCTCCCTTTAAACTTAGTTTTTCTTTTCTTTGACCTTCTAAGGACTTCTAGATAACTTAAAACTGTTGTGGGGAAGATTAAGGCCAATAAAACCTTTCAATGTTTTATTTCAATGTCAAGGAACTGTATTCTCCCTTCTTCCAAGACTGACAACTGTGCAAAATACATTCGAATGAAATTTTTTGGAAGTTTTTTAAATGTT